ATAAATATATATTTTTTTTTATGCAACCAATGATTTAATCCACAAGAAGATAATTGACTCGTTTTTTGTCACCTGGTTTGGTTCAACCGGTTCAACCGGATTGACTAATCAAGTCAACCAGTCAACCTAATAAATAGTATTTAATTGATTTTCTCAATTATAAATTATTTTTACATTAATTGATTTCATTTTTAAAATTGATATAAATCATTTTTATATTTATTGATCAAACAAATTATTAATTTTTAGAACTTTTTTTAAAATTTATTAATTTAAAATTCATTTTCTTCATTAAATTTATTTAAATATATAATATATATTTCCTTTAATAAGCAACTAAAAGTATTGATATCATATTAATTATAAAATTATTTTTTCCTTATATTGATTTTTTCCTAAAATTTCTCATGATTGATTTTAATTTTAAAAATATTTCATTCATTTGATTATCTAAAATATTAATTATTTTATTTGTAAAATTACTTTAGATTATTTTTAATTTTAAGTTGATTTCATCAATTTCATTATATAAAGTTGTTATTTATTTTATTTTAAAAATCAAATTGATTTATTTTAAATTACAATCACTTTATAATTTGAAATAGTAATTTAATTTCAAATTACATTTAAATAAATTTAAAAAATTTCATTCCTTAATTGTGATTTGATTTTAAATAGATTTTACAATTTAATTATTATATTATCTATTAATTACCAACATAAAAAATAAAAATTAAAGAAAAATAGAGAATAAATTGAAAATGTAAAAAATGTTTTGATCCGGTTGATTAAGTTGACCGAGTTGAATGGGTTTCACTGGTTTGGTTGGGTCTGAGTGGGTTTGATCGGGTTTTGACCAGGTTTGACCTCCAATGGATAAATATCATAAACTGACCCATTTTTAGAACCGATTTGGTTCAATTGATTGAACCGACCAAGCCAATCCGCTTTGAAAACAGTGTTTGCAACCTTTATGCACTAGTTGTTGGGTTTTCCCATTTCTTTGTCTATTACACGTACTTATATAATTACTATTATTATCTTAATAATGATTTATTTTACTTAAAATCTTAATTGTATTATTTAGTTAAAAATGATAGATGATCGTCGTTAGATGTATCGACGACGAGGTCCTCGTGGAGATTGTGATGTCGAATTCTTTAATGGATTACAACAATTTTTTGATTTCGCATATAGTCATCCTAGTGTTCACTCGAATGCCGAAATTCGCTGCCCCTGTAGTAAATGTGGAAATTTACCTCACCACAACAAGGAAACTATAAAAAACCATCTGTTGAGATATGGTTTCATGGATGCATATTCTGTGTGGTGGGCACATGGTGAAACTTTAAGTAACAATGTTGATCCATGGTTAGCCGCAAGTGATGTGGCATCCTCAAGTAATATTGAGGAACATGTTAATGCTGAGGATGATATCCATCACATGGTTTATGATGCATTCTGTCCATTTGAGAACAATCGCCTTAGAAATGAAACAGAGTTCGCATTTGAAAATGTTGGGGATGCGCCAAATAAACATGCACAATCTTTTTATGACTTGTTGCGTGCTTCAACAATCCCACTTAGACCATCATCTAATAATCAAACATTGCTTGGATGATTATCATATATGCTGCACAGCAAAGCCAAAAACAACATAACTGGTGTTGGTTACAATGACATCATTCTGGGCTGTAAGCAATTGTTAAGTCTGGAAGATCAGCAAAAAGTACTATAAAATTTTTATGAAGCAAAATAATTCATGAAGAACTTAGGTTTAGGCTATGTCAAAATTGATGCATGTGTCAACAACTACTTTCTGTATTATGGTGATGAGGTTAAGTCACGTACTGCTTGTCCAGTTTGTGGTGAACCTAGGTATAAAAAATGCAATTGGGCTCAAACTCAAAAAAAGGGTAGGCCCAAGAATTCTTTGTGGTATCTACTCATTATTCCACACCTACAGAGGCTGTACATGTCTCGTAAAACCATTAAGCATATGACATGGCACCTTAAATGTCATGTTGACTCGGAGATCCTCATTCATCCTACTCAGTCTACTGCTTGGAGGCACTTTGATGCCGTTCATCCTTCATTTGCATCCGATCCACGAAATATCCGTCTTGGTCTTGCAACAAATGGGTTTAACCCATGGGGTCATTCTTCGAGATCATATTCCTGTTGGTTTATTTTCATTGTTGTTTACAATCTTCCTCCTGAGATGTGCATGCAACCTGAGTTTACATTCCTTACACTTGTTATTTTTGGACCAAAAAGTCCAGGAAAAAAACATTGATGTTTTCCTCTGTCCACTTATTGATGACTTGAAATGGTTATGGTCGTCGGAGGTAGAAACATTTGACAGCTTCCGTAAACAAAACTTCACAAGGCAAGCCATGCTTATGTGGACCATAACGGATTTCCCCGGCTATGGTATGGTTTCTAAATGAAGCACGCATGGTCGTCTGTCTTGTCCATATTGCATGGAAATGACTCGTGCTTTTACTTGCAATATGGTCGCAAGATCTGCTTCTTTGACTGTCATCAACAGTTTCTTCCTGCATCACACTCATACATAATGGATGCAACTCAATTCCTTAAGGGCCACCTAGAATTTGGCCCCCCTCCTCCACGATTAGATGGTCATTCCGTTCAACTTCGAGTTGCAGCACTACCTGATGTTTTATTTGGAAATCCATCAGTAAACCAAACTATTCCCAGGTTCGGTGAAACACACAATTGGGTCAAACAGAGTATCTTTTGGGAACTCCCATACTGGGGGGATAACCTTATCAGACACAATCTTGATGTCATGCACTGTGAGAAGAATTTCTTTAACAACATCATACACACTGTCATGAATGACTCATCCTCAAAAGACAATGTTAAGTCAAGAATGAACTTACCATTGTGTTGTGATAGGGAAGAACTACACTTGTACTATGATAGTTCTGGGTCGTTTTGCAAGCCAAATGCAAGTTATGCACTTGACACGGATAAAAAAAGATGTCTATGTACATGGCTCAAAAATGTGCTATTTCTAGATGGATTTGCATCTAACATCGCATGTTGTGTGAACTTAGCTAAGCTACGTTTAGTTGGATTGAAGAGTCACAATTGCCACATATTCATGCAACACCTCATTATAATTGCTTTCCGTGGCTTGTTACCGGATTCTATATAGGGTCCATTAATAGAAGTAAGTAATTTCTTCTGTGCACTATGTTCCCCAACTGTCAACGTAAAAGACATGGCAGTTTGGGAAACGAAGATAGTTGAAATAGTATGTAAGTCGGAAAGAATCTTCCCACCATCATTTTTTGATTGTATGGAGCACCTAGCAATCCATCTTCCTTGCAAGGCGAATTGGTGGGCCTGTACAATTTCGATGGATGTACCCATTTGAACGGTAATGGAAACAAGTTTGCATTAGTTTCATATATAACAGAATCTATAACAATTTGTTATGCTTATATCTAATTTCAAATTTTACAGACGAATGCACAAATTTAAACAAATAATAGGGAACAAGAATCATGTTGAGGCATCCATTGTCGAAGCATACATTCTCAATGAAATAACAAGATTTTGCTCACGATATTTTGGTGCGGATGTTGAAACAAGTTGGAGCAAGCCCCCAAGGAACTTTGCTACAGTTCCACTTTATAGGAACACAGAATTCTCAATATTTGTGTGCCCTGGTCATCCAATGGGTTCACATTCACAAACACATTGTCTAACTACTCAAGAGATGAAGGCGACTGAACTTTATGTCCTACTAAATTGTAGGGAAGCTGATGCACTTCTTAGGTGAGATATGACAAACTAAACTCCTTTTTATTAAATTTTTGGAGTAAGCTTGCTGAATTATAGTAGGAAAGTTCAACATTTCATTTTTTGGTCACACCTAATTGTTTCCATATTTTAGCATCTTTGATCGAGAAGTTGGTGTATATATGATTCCTTCTAATCCACACGAAGCACGCAATAGAAGTTTTGTTATATGGTTCAAAGATAGGGTAAACAATATTTTTCATCATGTCATGTTATTTCAAATATTATTATATACCTATACATATATAGTCATATACAATATATTAACTAATTGAGTTTTTAACGAAAATATTATAAATTTGACTAATAACACGTACATATAAATTTGGTAGGTGTTAAATGACAATCATGAAAGGAATGAGGTTTTGCAATACCTTGCACTCGGTCCATCATGGATAGTGAATGTGTACAAAGGTTATTATATCAATGGTTTTAGATTTATGACACAAAAAGCCAGTAGTGAAAGACAAACATATAACTATGGTGTATATGTGAAAGGAACAACCATATCTGATGATGCTGAGACTGATTATTATGGCATCCTTAATGAAATCATCGAACTATTGTATTATGGACCACATGCGCAAATGCATACAATTGTCTTATTTAATTGTGATTGGTTTGATACACATAGGGGAACACACATTAACCAAATTTACAACATTGTTGAGGTCAACCCACGATATCAATTGTCGACTAGCGAGCCATTTTGCTTTGCGTGTCAAGCAACGCAAGTGTATTACAGTAGTTACCCATCAGATAATCAAGCAATTCATGGATGGTTCATCGCATGCAAAATACATGCTAGACATTTGATTGACGCTTCTTCAACCTCACTTGATATAGAAGAAATATTCCAAGATGAGGAGTCACCATGCACACAATCGAATGAGCATAGTTCCAATTTGGCATCTACAAAATGCGTGGATCTGCATCCAAAAAGGAGCAACAATGGTTGATTTAAATGGAGATGCAAATGATGATGTTGATGAAAATGCGAGTGAAGGAAATGAAGGATATGCAATAAGAGGCGATGTTGGTGGCGATAATAATGAGACTAAATAGTCATTAAATAATTGAAATTAATATACAGTAATAGTTTTAAATTTTGGTTGTCATTAAAAAAAATAAATCTTGTATATAAGACTTCGTAATTAACAAATATACTTATGAATGACTAGTGACTATTTCTTCAATTTTTGTTTACGACCCTATGGAAGTGGGTTTATGATGGTGATTACTTCACCTATGACTTGTTCCCAGAACACAAAAGGCTGCAATTGTGGGAGTTGTTTAAGGTAAGAATAATTATCATTTCATACATAATCCTTCCATCCAACTTAAGATCAATGAAGAAAGGATGGGGTGATAATATGAAAGATGAATGGGATAAGTGGCGTACAAACGATGAGTATAGGTCGGTATAGGTGCCTGAGCACCTATGGCCTACATTATGCACTTATTGGGATTCTGATGAGTTTCACAATCTTAACGAGAGGGGGAAGAAAAATCGAGCTTCTGGGGAACGAGTTACGCACACTACAGGATCAGTGAGTTTTGATGTACATGAAGAACGGATGATAAGTAAGAAAAGAAAGAAAAGTGTATATATATAATAGATAATGAACACAAGTTATACTATTTTTGTATAATTATTGATTAACTATAAATATAAATAACTTGCTAACCTTGTATAATATGATTGTGACACACAGACCAAAGCTGCTGGGGGGGTAAGACCAGCACACCAAGAGCTATACAAGGAAACACATACTTTACGAAAAGGTGTCCCCCAAGGACAAGAAGCTCCATGGTGTGGCGACAAACATAAGACTCATCATGCAAGTGCAAACATACTAGATAAAAAATTTTCTATGAGTAACATAGATTGTTAGAAAAAGTGAATAAAAGGTTTATTAATAAAGTTAGTGGTGTTAAATAAAATATAACAAAAATTTTGCATGAGTAAGTATTAGTATGTGTAGGTGTTCATGAAAAAATTTTGTTTGGGTATTGATTGTCTCTCGATGATTGCTACTTTGTTATCATTTGTTCGTAAATAATAATGATCACATTTTCAACATTGTTATGTGTATACAACATTTAATAATTTGCAATTATATGTTGTAGGTTTTTTTTTTTGCATTACTTTTGTAGGATACATATGTCAATGAGTGCTTTGCTACATATAGCTCAAACTCAACATCATGGCCACCTCGAGACAATGACGCTTGGGCAACTGCTGTTGGGGCATGCCACAGCAATTTCATGCCAGGAATCGGTTCACAGGTAAACCCAGAGGAACTTGGGTTTACATATAGAAAACGAAAACCAAAGGGGACTTCATATGTGAGCTTGATGATATCAGACCTGGTTGAAAAACAAGCCAAAGTTAAGGAGGCAATGCATATGATGCAAGACGAAATAGGGCAAGTTAAAGAGCAATGAGAAGCAATGCAACGGATGCTGGAAGACATGGGGAGGATGCAGGCTTCTCTATCGCAGCAATTTGCTGCTTTTAGTGCTTACGGGATGCGCCCGCCCAGTGCTACTCCATCATTGCCTCACACTAGGCAAGCATTTCCTCCTGTAGGGACATCATTCCCTACTACTGGGCCATCGTTTCATGCTAGTAGGCCATCATTTCCTCATGCAATGCCAATGCAAATGCCAATAGAACCTACATTTCCCATGGGCCAAATGGGGAGACAGTCAGGATCTCCAGGTACATCTTCAGCCAATCCCCCACAAGATGATTATGGTTACCAACCGAGATTTGATGCAGACTACCAGGGTCCATTTGGGATGGAATGATCAGTGTGCATGAGGTTGCGAACGCAAAACTTGGCATGTTCTTGATACTTGAGGAAAATACTTTTAGTGTTTGGAAGGGTGATTTGAACTTGTTAGGACATGGGTGTATATGTCAGTTGAGATTGAATGGTTTGTGGTAATATTAACTGAATTACTATGGTTTGCAAGTTTAGAATATACAAATGGTCATGTTAAATGTTGCAGGTGGTACTTATATACTTATCTTTTAATTTATGATGATGAGATGAGGGAATTATATAAGTGGTACACATTTATAATAGTGTGATGAATTGAAAACATGTGATATGATAAATGACATTGTATGTAATGTGATATGATAAAATCAAAGTGCAGTAAGAACAAGTACAAAAGTTGGGGCATGTTAGAGAGGTTCAAGCATTTCATGCATGTTAGAGTCGACTATATATATCAAGAAGCGACTATCAACCCTCCAAGAGTCGACTGTATAAGAGCGACATTGGACTCCCAAATTCCAGAGAGGTTCAAGCATCTGCTGCAGGTTAAAGTCGACTCTATACATGAAGAGTCGACTTTAACTCCTCCAAGAGTCGACTATATAGAAGCAACATTTGACTCCCAAATTTCAAAGAGGTTCAAGAATCCTGTTGCAGGTTAGAGTCGACTCTATGCATGAAGAATCGACTCTAAATCCTCCAAGAGTCAACTATATAGGATCAACATTCTATTCCCAAATTCCAGAGAGGTTAGAGCATCTTGCTGCAAGTTAAAGTCGACTCTATACATAAAGAGTCGACTCTAATGCCTCCAAGATTCAACTATAAAGGAGCAACATTCGACTCCCAAATTCTAGAGGGCAGGGAAAGTTCCCCATGGTGGGTATAGTCAACTCTGTTCTTTTAAGAGTCAACTCTTTTGGGAAAAGAGTCGAGTCTTATATTAAAAGTCGACTAAAGGCCAAAAATTGTAGTAAGTTTGTATGAAATATTTATGTAGCCTAATATACATGTTCACACATATTTTTAAATAAATTAGTGTTTTAAATTATTTATATATATTAATAAAAAATCTAATTATGTTAATTAATCTATTAGTATTAAATAAAAGTTAATAGATTAATAAAAATTTAATAATAAATAAAATTTCAGATATAAAAGAATTTTTTTTAAGATTAAAAATTAATTAAAATATATTTATTTTAATAATTGAGTAGTGGGGCAAGAAAAATATTAATTTTAAATTTTAGCAACATGCTGTACGTTGCTAATGAGTATAAATTTAAAATTTAAACATGTTTTAGCAACATAGAGCATGATGGTAATGATGGGATGGACATTCAGCAACATAGTTCTTGTTTCTGAAAGTCCTTTATATACCCCTTTCCTCACTCATTTTCCATGCGTTCTGCAGATGCCTCCAACTCCTTTTCTCTCCTATGCTGCACAATCCTCAGCCATCTCCATATGCATGTCCGCTCAGCCCACCTCATTCTCATGCGCATGCTGGACAATCGTCACCCATCTCCATGTGTTATGCAATTCTCGACGCTTCCTTCTCCTGCATGCTGCACCATCCTAGCTCAGCCATCGATCTCCATGTACGTACATGTTTTGCACCCATGCTACAGATATCCACCTAGCTAGCTCCCTTTCTCTTGCGTTCTGGAGATATCCTCAGCCATCTCTAGTCGAATCCATCTCCTGCTGTGTGCTGCAATTCTCTCCAGCCGGCCGCAGGATCTTGAACCTGAAACATTAGACTCTATACATCAACATTCGACTCCCAACTTCTATTTTTTTTTTCCTGTTAATATTAATTCCCTTGAAAACACATTGTATGAAATATTTTTGTAAATATTACATTATTAATTAATTTGGTATCAATTTATATTATTTGAAAGTTTATATATTTATAAATAATTATATAGTAATTACTTTAATTTTATTATTTTTGTTGTTTTATATGTAATTATTAATAAAATAAAAAATTCAAATTTAGTAAGAAACTCAATTAATTATACCATAAAAATTAATTAACTTAAATTTGTTTAATTAATTTATATACAGTTATTAAGCTAAAAAATTGATTAATGTTTATAATTAATATATAAATATTAATTATATTGTATGTGAGATCTTAAGATAATTAATATATCTTTGATGATTAAAAAATAAATTTTATTTGTATATATTATAAATTTATTAAATTTAATACAAATAAAAAAAATTAATGTAATATATTTATTATCATAGACATCAACAACAAGAGGCATGTTGCTGAAAATATGGTTTCAGCAAAAAGGCTTTTTTGCTTAAAATGGACTAGGAATGTGGGGAGGAATCCAACCATTTTTTTATCAACATGGAGCATGTTGGTGAAAGTACACAATCAGCAACAAAAAATATGTTGTTGAAAAGTGCAAACCACTCTCTCCCCTTAGCTTTTACCAACATAAGCCACATTGTTGAAAATAGAGTTTCAGCAACGTGGCTTTGCTTGTTGAAAATGGACCAGAAGTGTGGGGAGGAATCCATCCATTTTTTTACCAACATGGAGCATGTTGGTGAAAGTACACAATCAGCAGCAAGGAATATGTTGTTGAAAAGTGTAAAACCACTCAATCCCCTTAACTTTGACCAACATAAACCATGTTGTTGAAGATAGGGTTTCAACAACGTGGCTTTTCTTGCTGAAAATTTGATAAAATTCCGGTGATGGAGTCCGGCAACATTTTTTTGAATTTTTAGCAACATGAGTCACGTTGCTGAAACTCTATCTTTAGCAATGTGGCTTATGTTGTTGAAAAGGATGAGAAATTTCACCCCCACCCCTCATTGGATTCCGGTGACTCATTTTAGCAACACAAGCTACATTGCTAATACTATATTTTCAGCAACATAGATCATGTTGCTGATATATCAGCAACAAAATTTTGGTTGGTAATGTATTACCCACCAAACCTTCTCCAACAAAGGTTTTAGCAAGCAAAGCCATGTTGCTGAAAGACTTTCAGCAACATGCTTCCATGTTGCGGAAGGTGAGGATTTTAGTAGTGGTGGGTTTTGAGCAACATTTTGAAAATAAGACCAGATCGAACAATCAAACTAGTCAAACCAATACCTACTAACATAAGCAATTCAGGTGGGCATCTAAAACCAATAGATGGGCATCTAAAAACAATAGAGAAGTTGAACTATTTAAAAGTTAAAACCAATAAAACCATTTGAACCAATCTAAATCACTAAACCATTGAACTAGATGGTTTAAAGATTTTGGTAAAAGACTCAAAGGATTTGCCACCTCCATGGTTCAAATGTACGACCCTTCAGGGACTCTTTCGCAAACTTTCGCCACTAGAGCACACTGAAATTGTTTGCATATAAATTATATGAGAAAAACGAAAATAAAGTTATGAGCAACACATTTAATAATTATGATTAAATATTTTAAAATTTTTAATATCAAAATATTCTAATTTTTTATTTTCTTTAATTATATTTATTTATTTATTTATTTTAAACATGAGAGAATTTGAAAAAAAAAAAGATTTTTTTAAGTTGTTGGTAAAAGTCAAATTCCTAACCAATTATACCTCAATCATTTAAGAGTTGTGAACAAACTATGAAACCTGAAAGTCCGGTTCCTCTGATTACATTTACTTAAGCGTTAGACAGGATAGAATGCCACCCAAGAGAGTAGTACTATTTTCATCTCGGTTAAGGGTAGAGGCTTCCCCTGATGTGAAGCATCATATTTGTTGTGCTCTGCGCTGAAATTTATAATAAAATAGATACATAATAATACATTAATTTTGCTTTCTTAGGATTGAGCTTACAACCTTCTAGGACCAAACAAATGTTTTAAACCAGAAGCCCCTTTGAACTTACCGATATCAGTCGCATAACATTATATTTATTCATACATAATATATTATTCAGAAAAAATATTAATTTTGATCTTTTAACTTTAAGGTTTTACGTTACTTTTATACTTTAACTTTTTTTTATGTATTTTCATAGTTCTTTTATCAATTTATTTATTAAGTTGATTTATATATATTTTTTTTAATTTTTTAATTTATAATATATGTGTATTTTTAATTTTTTAACTTATAATATATATTATCTCTTAATTTAAATATTTAAAAAATAAAAATATATATAATTAAATAAATTTAACAAATTAATTAATAAAAAATTAAAAAAAATATATCTTTCATGATTAAAAAATGAAAACTATATAAAATTTTTAAATTAAACTATCAAAATTTACATTTAATCTGTTATTAATATTAATTTAACTAATGATTAGATCAATCCAACCAATTAAATTGTTTAAATCAAAAACTAAAAGCCAAAATGATACAACGTCCGATTCAATTTTCAAAAAACATGGGCTTTGAGTTTTTTTTTAAACAGATTAAAATTAAAATTACTGTCATGTATCAATTGAGAGGAGGAACGGAGATGCATGCGGGTGTTCGGGTTTTGAGTTGCGTAGCAGCATGCACTAACATCCTGTTAATATCTGTGGTCCCACGACATGTCCTTTCTTTCTTGTCAACATCATTGTAACTTACAGCGACATACCATGGTGAGACACTGATATTTCTTTTTTATTTTTTTATTTATATTTAGAGTTTTTTAAATTAGTTTTGGCCTAATTTAATAAATAATTTA